GCCCATGACCTCAGCCTGAGGGCAGTCACCACAGAGCAACCTGTGTCCATGCTAATGCTCTCCAAGAATCCCAAAGAGAGTGGCCACATCCAAACTGTGTGGTGGAGAGAGCTCCTGGCTCTGCTGGATCCCAGGAGTTCGTGGAGTCATAGAATATTTTGGGTTGGAAGGGACCTTTAAAGGCCATCTAGTCCATCCTCCCTGCAATTAGCAGGAACATCTACATCAGGTTGATCAAAGTCCTGTCAAACCTTACTTGAATGTTTTCAGAGGTGGGGCATCCATCACCCCTCTGGAAAAGCTGTGCCAGTGCCTCACCACCTTCATTGTAAAAAACTTCATCTTTACAGCTCATCTAAATTGACCCTCCATCACTTTGAAGCTGTTCCCCCTTGTCCCATCACTCCATGACCTTGTCCAAAGTCCCTCTCCAGCTCTCCTGGAGCCCCTTTAGGCACTGGAAAGTGCTCAAAGGTCTCCCTGGATCTTTCTCTTCTCCAGGCTGAACACCCCCAATTTTCTCAGCCTGTCTTCATAGTAGAGGTGCTCCAGCCTCCATCTTCATGGCCTCCTCTGGAACTGCTCCAACAAGTCCATGTCTTTCCTGTGTTGAGGGCCCAGAGGTGCACATTGTTTGGGACAACATAACCTGGCACAAGTCAAAATGTGACCAGTCAAAAGCAGATGATGATACTCCAGTAGGAAGGTCTATTCCTGGACACTGCCTAATTTACTATTACTTCCACCTTATTTCTATGACTAAACCAGAGTGAACTTTCCAGAGCACAATTCCTTGTATCCCAAAGTGCAGTCAGGTGTGTTTAGGTGTCTTGTCTGGACACAAATTAACTGTGTCTGAAGAAAGACAAAATTAAATGGGAGTAATTAAAAATCATGTAAAAACCTATGTATTCCAAACACACCTACACTGTAATGAAATCTACTGTTTTTTGCACAGAGTTTATTGCCTTGCTGTGAGCTTTGTACAGATTTCCCACCAAGAAAAGATATGTGAGCAACACTGGAAAAATCACATCCACAATGAACTTCCTAGAATAAAAATATGTATCTGCAGTTTTTAAATATCTAATGTAATTCATAGGACAATACACAAATCACAGAATCATAGAATCACAGAACAGTATGGGATGCAAAGGACCTTAAAGGTCATCTAGTTCCAACCTCTCACAAAAGAACCACAAAGTAGGGATAACTTAGTTTTACTATTTTGCTGGTTTCCAGCTGGCTTTCAAGGTAGTCTATTGTTGTAGGGAAGTTATTTTCCCTCCACTGTTTATTCAAACTTGCAATGTACTATGAAAGCATTATGGTAGCTACTGCAACTGAATTATTGCCATTTAACATATGAGTGTTGGAAATATACCCCTAAACTAGCAGTCAGAGTGACAGATGAATGGTGTTTCTCCTAATCCTATGGGAACAAAAGTGAAACAGAGCATTCACAGCGTGATGCTCTATGCATTCCTTTGTGTCAGTTCAGATTTCTGATGGCAAGACTTTTTCTTCCTGGGGGAGGTATTGGAGCTATAAAATAAACGATAAAAAAATGGGTCATTACAGTATTACTGGGAATTCAGCTTTGCAACTGTGTTGACCGAAGTTTTAAAGCAGCTACACTTGTGATTTTAGCAACGTGAAATGCAGAATTTGATAGTGGTTCTAACAGGAAAAAATAGAACTAGAGCTACAATTCACAAAATAACAGTCAAACCTGCAATTGGTTTAACTATGGACAGGAAGTCAGGAGGTTCTGAGGAGCAACATAAGGACACTTAAAATTGTATCTCTACCCAAAGTGCAAATAAGGAAAAGTTCAAAGATTTTAAATGAACATGTTCCTTCTTCCCACCCCCATTCAGCAATATCCCAGAGGAATATAACTCTCCTCTCTACTTGCAAGGTTTTGTTTATTGTGGATTCTGTCACACAGCAGGCAAAGGAAGGGAATTCCCGAGCACCATCAGCTCTGGCTATTCCACAGCCCAACCTGTACAGAGGAAGAAGAATGTGGGTACATTGCCATTCATGTAGCTCAAGAGACTGTCACCCATCATAAAAACAATTTCTACGATCCATCTCTCCTTCACATGCACAGTGAGAATTGTTTATTCCATCTATAACTGTTTCTAACTTGGACAAGTGTTTCACTAGTGCTTTACTGCTACCTCAGGAGGGCAAAATAGTAACTGTTAGGGGGTGAGACAGAGGTGCTATTCCAGTTTTTATTTTGCTTTGATTTTGCCAATAAACTCATTTGGTTTGCCACCACTTAATACTATTATTTTTATGTTAAGTCATCTAATTTTAACGTATTGATAAAATAATCACGTGTTATAACAAGCAACATGAATTTTGTTCTTAAATTCTGTCCTGTATTTTAAGAGCAGTCTGTGTTCCTTTGCACATTGTTGGTATTACTGTTTCAGAGACAGTCCCTTTGTTTCAATTTAAAATCACAGGATACACCAGTAAGTTCTATATACAACCCCATTAGCCTTTCTTACTAATATGACAGCATTGGTGGGTGTGTTTTAGTCAAGGAAGTATAGAATTGTTTGTTCTCCTTTAGTAATGTTTTCAGCAAAGCTTTGCCTACTCCTCCATGGTACAAATATGGAATAGACCTCACAGCACTGCAAGCAATCACATGAAAGCTTAGCTCTAATTTTATGAACTGTTTTAAAAGAAATTAGCATAAACAATATTTGCATTTTGTATCATAACTGAAACCATACTGCTAAACAATCATATCCTGTTTAGCCCATAATGACTTCAGAAATACATGTTTATCATCTGCTCTGGACAACTTAGCATGATTTTGGCCTAAGGCAAAGTGGAACTGAAATCATTTACAGTTGTCCAAACCAAGATAACCACACATTTCTGAAGTAATTGATACCTAAAAGGAACATTGCCTTTAGATTGCAGTTCATGATTTAAGTACACTAATTCCTCAAAGAATACTGTTAAAGTGTCCACTGGACTTCCTTCAAAACTTAGCATGGATTAAACAATCTTCTGCACAAAGCAAATGGGATTCAGGAGATTAGCCCATCCACTAACAACTCTTCCTTTAGGAATGGATCACATTTCCTAGTATCTTTAATTCCTTTCCACCCACCTCAAAGTGACAACAAAATCCCAAATGAAACAAAGCCAAAAATACATTAAACATTTTGAGTAGCATGTTTCAAACTGTCTTTCATGTTTTGTCATTAGTTTTAGAGACTACCAAGAAAGAAAATACATAGTACTGTCTTCAGGAATCTATTATAAAATAAGACCTTGATTTTTCTTTTGGTTTTTTTTTCTTCTTTTTTTTAACATGGAAATATCAACACTTCACAATATGTAATAAAGTCAAGCAATAGTGAGAAGAATTACTTGATATATATATATGTGTGTATATATATATACACACACTACAGTTAATGAATTACAGTCTAGTGATAAAAAACAAAACATGTAGTCAGATGAAAGACAAATATCTAATTACAGACACACACTCCTTGACAGACAAACATAGAATCAGATTTGCCCTTGCCTAGAACAAGGAACTTCATACTTTTATCAAATTGTGTAGTTTTTTAGACCAGAAAATTATTACACCAGAATGATAGAAGAGAATCTAAAGCCAAGCACATAACCCATTCATTCAGAAGAATGCTGTACAAGCTCAAAGGATTTGCCTGCCTTTTGCCTTTATGCAAAACATAACATTTTGCATAAATAAATAAGTAAGAAATTAAAGAAAAGAAACCATCGGTTTCCAAAACACAAACAGTGGTTGGGAACAACTGTTCTATGACACTAATTCTCAGCTGGGGGGAAATGGGACTCCTTCCTTGCCAAATTTTTAGAGGGAAGGGGTTCTTCACTAGGTTTTGATTTCTTCCCATCAGAGGGGAGAAAGAAGAGGAAACAAGATTGGGAATGTCGCAGTTCTGAAAAGAGGCCCCAGTAAGAAGAAAAACTGTAGAATTACAATTGAGCAGGATAAAAACTTCATTATTTTCTAGAATTTTCCATGAAATCTTGAAAGAGAAATGAGGCCCTAGTAGTCAAAATTAAACACACAAATACTCCCAAACACATGAGCCACCTCAGCACAGAGAAGAAAATCAACCAATGCACCCACCGAAAGGGTATTAAAGGAACTCTACAAATAACGAATTTCCAACAGCCATGTATTCTATGTTGCTGTCTAAAAATGGATGGATATTGGCTTAAATGTTAGTCTGGAACTGTGAGTGTGCTCCCAGCACAGTTTTGCCCTTGACATCTAGTTGCCCACAGAAGACACAAGGAGGAACTGAGCAATTAAACATGAACTGGGGTGATAGACAAAACTATCAAAAAGACAGGGTAGTCCTGTCCATCTACAGAAAATTTAGCCAAAACCACAGACTTTCGTGCTACCACAGCTATGCTGCTTCTTGATTCCACTGAGCTTTATGAGAGTGACTGCATTCTGGAATGTAGATAAAACTTTTCATAACTACATAGATCAGAAAATGGGAGTTGAAAGAAGGACAGAGAGTAGAGCTTATACTGAAGCATGTTTGCACAGAATATTTTAGTTTCAGCTGTGTTATAAGAAAAGAGTCCTGAAATGCTATTGAACAATTTTCTAATGAGAGGAATAATGCAAAAGAAAAAAATGATTGTGAAAAATGTGTGTGAAATGTTTATAAATAGAATCTGCTTTCTACAGAAAGGAAATACAAATACATGGCAGACATAAAGATCCATAACTACCCTTTTGTAATCTTCCTCCTCAGCATGTGTGCTTAGATATCAGGAAACATTAGAAGGAATAGGAAAAATATGGAAATAGGATTCCTTTACACCATCTGGGCAAAAGGAAAAAAAAACATGTACCAATGATTTAATATGCAGCATGAAAAAAACATCAGACCAACATGATGTATGGAAATATTTCACAGTTTTCTCTGCTGGAGCTGAAAGAAAAGAATTACCTCCATTCGCTCTTGCTTGACATCATCAATCTCATCATCTTCAAAAATGGCTAAGAGCTCTCCAGTCTGGTCAATGGAGTTGAGAAAGTCTTGAGCAAGCTTCTGCCTTTTGTTGGTGTTATTACTGTTGAATTTGTCTTCACGAAGACAAGAAAAGAATAACAAATTTATTTGGCTTCTCCAAACATCAACTGATGTTTTAGAATCAGCACAATGCACAGTTCTTACTGTCCCCTCAAACAAGTTGTGCTACCTGACCAAGGTCACTACTCTGCAGTGATGGTAAAAAATTACCTTTAGTGTTTTCTGGTATAACCTAGCTTTTTCATGATCTAGAGAAACCTGCTGCTCCTATATCATTACTTCTCACCAAAGAATCCACAGCGGACACAGATGTAAAAGAAACTACCTCTCTTTGGTTGCACAAAAGAACCTCACTCATAGAGCAGAATATATAGAGGAAATGCTCTTTCCTCAACACATGCAGAACATCTTCATTACCTACAGCTTAAAGCAAACCCTAACACACACTAGGATGCAGTTCCAGAGGTGATGGACCACTGCTCTGCAGTAAAACCTGGAGAACCCTGGCAGGGTGATCTCTGTGATCTCTGTTGTTCTAAACAGACGAGCAGCTACAAAAGCGTTAAAGTCACAAAACAAAATTAATGGCTTCAATTACCAAAGCCTGACAGAAAATGCAACTTTAATTTCAGGATAAACTGTGTTTAGGAAGCATTTCATGAGCATCTAAACAACTTAGGAAAATTGTTTATTCATTTTAAGAAGTGCCACAAGCTTAAGTATTAAAACCCAAAGCTGTCAGGAAAGAAGTGATACTGCCACATTACTTGCACGAAAAGACACCTTTTCATGTGTGGTGAAAATAAAATGCCACAGGCAAATTAAATCTCAAATGAGTTGATAAAAATTTATCCACAGCTTGATTAAGTCAAAGCAAGAAGTACAATGTTTATCTAACATCAGTGTGGATGCTCAGAGGAACCAAATACAAGGAATTCATTGTAAGGGAAAAAATAATAAAGGGCTCTGAGAAAGGAAATAAGTTAAATACAAAAAGTTGTGTATGGACATTGTTAGATGTTGTAACAGTATGGAAAGGTTTAGATTTGCTATGATAAGTTTTAACTTGACTTTTTACAACGGAAATGTTAAATCTAATGTCAATATAAATCAACAAAACCTTATACCAGCAAATTATATGGCATAAATTAATATATTTTTAATTCAAAGAGCTTTTCCTTTAAATGCATTGGTTATAAAATCAGTGACTTGCTCATGGAATGGGGAAACAGAAGCGTTTCCTATTCTTTGCGTTACAGATTCAAAGTATAAAATGTTAAACCACAGTGAAAAAAAAGGACCCAGGTCATCTATTAGTATTCAATGACTTCAGATTATGGGATGTTTTTTTAAATATGCCAAAACCTTTTGACAATAACTTAACAAATGTTCATTCGATTGCAGGTGGTAGATGCCCACTTTAGAAGTATTTCAAATGCAAAAGCAGAGATTTTCAAACAAATTCCTCTAAAGACACTAGTTGTGTGTCTCTAAATATTAAGCAAGCTAGCAATACTTTGCATTGAGCTGTTCAGCATATTTATAAAACATCAAGCCTCTCCCAAATTAAGTAATTTCTTTTTTCTACCTTCAAGGAGGTCATCTTCTTCTATTCCTTTGACAATTTTAGATTTGTAGTCTCGAAAAAACATGTATTTAAGTAGCCTTCTAAGCTTTTTCTGCGAGAAAAAATACATTTACATTAATTAGTATAATTTTTTTTTTATTTAAACTAACTGTAATGTGCAAATCATTAGTCAGTAAATATAATTGTTAAAATGTTCATAATTTTTGATTCTGCAGAAAATCCATACATAGAAAATACCTCAAGGTAAATAGAAATTAAACATTAAATATTGTTTATTTGAACTCCTTGGTACCTTGCTGTGAGAGAAAAATGGGTTTGACTTTCAGAAAGGAGAAATTCAGCCATAAGGCGTCTTTAGGGCACTCCAAAATCTTTACTCATGTTTGGAAATTCAAGCCTAGAAATGCATATTTCCATGAACTTTGACATCCATATTAACTGCTCTTTTCAGTAAAGCCTTATGGCTCATATCAGATAAAGAAACTGCAATTGGTTTTCACGTGTTAGTGGTTTTTAGTTTTGAAATCGTTTTGGTCATCAGGTTTCAACTATTAAATGAGGAAAGAAAAACAAAGAGGAGATAAAAGGGTGAGGGAAAATGAGGAACTGAGGAAGAAAAGGAGATATAGGAAGAATAAATAATGTAGATAAAAATAGCTGACAATAATGTTCCAAGAATTTTGAAATTTGAGGAAAGAAAACTATTTTTTTTTAATTGACCTGTTACTATTCAGAGAAAGCAAGACCATCCCTAAATCTGGAGATTTTAGAGGGATATAGTACAGAAAAAATATTATAAAAGAAAATAAAGATAATTTACAGTCTAAATGACAAAACTCTAATGGTCACACTGTCAAATGTCACATCTACACCCTGCATATCCAAGGGGAAATTAGAATTATTGATTTTTAATAAAAGGAATATAAAGGATCAGGATCAATATTTTTACCTAATTAAGAAATTGTTTTGAGCTCAAAGGTGCACTACCCACCCTAGAGCTTTGTGAAAAAAAATCTATTGATAATTGAAGTTACAGGAAAAGACAAGACAATTAAAATATTATAGAATGACTGCACTGTGCACAATAAGATTCAACTCCAGAGCAGCTATATTTTTAAATAAAGCTATCCATGACGATGGACTCCTTTTCCATAGGTTAAGCAAACACTTGAAAACACAATAAGGCAGCTGATTATGTAAATAAAAACTTCTGTCTTGTTACTGTACCTTATCTTTGCGCATTAAGAACAGAAGATCTTCAGCAGAGATGACTCGAGCTCCTCTCATCTGAGAAACTTCAGCTGCTTGCTGCAACTAAAATAAATGAATAAATTAGGATGGCTTTTTCAGTGTTCAAAACTTTATTCACTGGGGTTTGTTTTAAATAAATTCAGATAATATTTTGCACGGTCCTGAATAGCAAAATACAGGCTGTGCACTAACACACAAGCTGGGACTCTCAAAGGTGTCACTCACTCGGTTCTTGTTCGCCAAGAAGTGAAAAACAATTTCATGAAAAGCCTGAAAGACTTTTGACAAATCTCAAGCAAAAGCTTTTTTGTTTATATTTAAAATGATTGCTTTTAAAAAGCACTGAAGCCCCTTTTTTTTTCTTTCCTTAGCGCAGAAAATGAACATATAATTCTCTCAGGCAATGTAAAAATGCCAAATTCTTGCCATAGCACTTTATCTGCAACTGTGGAAGGGTGGTTGATCCCTCTTCCAATTTTTTAGAATAACAAATATTAATTTTAAACAGCTTACCTAAGTATTTTTTGAAAGAAATTCTACCCTTACTTCACTTAGCATTAGTACAAACCAGACTCACATGAATAACTTTTTTAGGTGTGCTCTTATTTCATCCAGGAGAAAGAAAATGAATTGATAGGAAAAAACAACTCTATTAATGATGGAATTAAAAAACCTTATTGAGTAGACCAGGCCCTTCAGCTGTGAAAGTGATAACGATGGGATTGAGCAAGGAATGCCATGAAAATTGGTAAGAGGTGGCCAAAGGAGTGGAAAGCAATGGACTGTCCTCAACTCCATTGCCTCTTAAGGCCCTAAACACCTCAAATTGTGCTGGAAAGAGCAAAAATCTCTTTCTAAGGGACTAATTCCATCAGCCTTCAGTAGGTGCAGGAAATCAGGCTGTTTTGTACACTAATGGATCATATCAAAACTAGCACAGGGCCAGAAACCTTGAAGCCTTGGTTAGAAATTTGTACAATGATATTTATCAAACTGCTGAGCTGAGGAGGTTCAACCCAAATGCACAAAAGAAGTTAATGGGATTTGCTCCCATCCACAAGATGATCATGGAACTATACAATGGTTTGGGTTGGAAGGAATCTTTAAAGTTCCTCTAGTTTAAGCCCCCTGTAATGAGCAGGGACACCTTCAACTAGATCAGGTTGCTCAGAGCCCTGTCCAGTCCCAACCTTGAATGTTTCCAGGTATGGGGCATCCACCACCTCTCTGGACAACCTGTTTAAGTGTAAATCGTGATGCTGTAGATATGGTGGGATGGAAAGGATGCTTCCCAGCAAGGAATATACTTTATCCTCAAAATTAAAAAACATTGTCCAAAAAGCAAGATTTAATCATAGGGTTTTTTTCCTTTCATCCTTGTTTACCCTGTGATGGAAAACTGATCATAAGCACAGTACAAAAGTTATCAAAAGGAGAGACACCTTTAAAAATTCATGATATTAAAATTCATACACACCTGCAACATGATCAATAAACAGCAATTTAATTTATGTTCAAATATCTGTATATTATTCCTTAGAAATGCATTAATGCACCTGAAAATAATTTAAAGAAATCCTATCCTTCGTGCTCACACTAGCAATGGTTTCACTCAGTATCACTGGCTGAATAAGTATATTATTAATCTCAGCTCCCATGCTGCTATGACTTGAAATAGGCCTATTCAGAAGTTAAAAAGATCAACAAAAACAGTAGCTGTTTCTAATATCCAAAGAAGAAGGGGCGGGGGGGGGGAAAGATTTTCATTTTGGCAAGTGTTCAGTGGGCAAAAAGATTCAGTCCATAAATCATAATACTGGACTGCATTAATTTTTTTCCCCACTAATCACAGGCACACAAAACGTTAACTGTATCTCATACTCACAACACAAAACACACTGCGTGAAGAGGTTCAGAGCTTCCCCTTGAAACTCCCTCTTGGCCCTTGCAGTCACCAAGACCAGAGAGATTTCAGGAATTCAGGAGTCACAGTAATATAATCTTACTTGAAAAATGTAAGAATGTGAAAAACGATAGTTCTATTTTTTGGCATAAGCAAAACTGTTTCTTATTCTGATTAGTTTGAGGGCACACAAGCTACTTATATTTCTAACATAAAATACAAAGAGCTGGATAAAAAAAAAAAATTACCAAGTACGAGCCAATGTTCCTCTCTGGTGTAAATCTATTGCAGTTAATGGATTTATGCCAGGGCTGACTTTGGCCCCACTGAGCTTAAAAGTGTTAGAAAACCTGACCTTAGCATGGTGATAACACAACACAGCTTTCCCAAATATCACATAAAACAATGGCAGAAATATCGGATGTGAAAGTTTGCTCTAGTTCCCTAAAATGTACAGGACCACAATGACGATCTCTTGGTCCCTTCCAACCCAAACCATTCTGTGACTGTCTAAGGCATTAAATTTCTTACCATAAAATTCAGATATGTTAATTTTTGTAGCTGAAATACATTATTTTTCCAAATGATAAACACATGAAAATGACATTTATAGCACAGATTGTGTGTGAACTGCTTAGAGGAGCCTCATGATGAAGGAAGGGAGAGTAAGGAGCAGAGGCCAAATTCACATCCCATTTGCATCTAAGTAAATCCTGAATAACGCTGCTTACTTTTAATGGAGTTATTCTGGGATAAACACAAGATCAAAATCTGGAATAATATTCTCAGTTTCTACCAAAACAATGAAAACTTTATTCTTGTATTGCCCCAGCTTTTTCATCTATTTTATTTTAAGGAATGGACACACAGCATTTAATTTTTTTGGCTTAAAGAAAGCAAAATATGAAAATAATTACTTCCTGTACAGTTATAAAATATGGATTATTTATCCAAACAGACCATAATGAGTACACATATTTACCTGGGAAACCGGGATATGCTCAGGTAAATATGTATCCAAGAAATTAAATAAAAATTACGTCCCACGCAGCCGAGGTTGGGGGGAAGATGTATTTATAGCTTAACACACACATAATTGACTCACTCAAACCACAACATGAGTGCTTTGCTATAATTAGCATTATAACAAACTGTCTTATTTGACTGTCCCAGAGTTGCCATTAATATGCAATAAGCCCCGATTCCTGAATTTCCAGAGCGGAAGGCCTCGTTGAGTCATTACCGCATTCCGGGATGAAGGGGGATTTCAGGAAGCCCTACCAAAGGAACGATCCATCCTGGAGCACCCAGGCATTTGTCATTCCAGAAAAGCTGCTCTCAGCTCTGCAGCCCTGAAGTCAGGAGGTCTCTCAGCCTTCGCTGCAGTCTCTGTGAGCAGCACTGCCGTGACTCCAGATCAGGGGTGGGATATAAATGCTGCAATAACTTTTCCCAGATGAAGTTCCTATATGGCAACGGGGGAGATATGGCAAGAATTTCCTACCACGTCCCTTCTCCAAGCCAAAGGGATACTCAGTGCCAGTCACAGAATCTGGGGCAGCAGCAGTTCCAACATACTCACTTGTCTTCTCCTAATTTTTTTAATTTTTAAGCTATTAGGCCCACATTACAAAATATTTTGTTTGGGATGATATTGAAGAACAGCAAACAATCCAAATTACTCAGTTTTTAAAAGAAAAACAGGCTAAATTTCCTAGCACCAGCAAACAATATTTGAGACCTCAGAGTATGAATATATGTTTTATTACAGCCAAATTATGAACCTCTAAAAGTGAAGTTTAAATAACGGAAGTGTTGAAATGATTTTAACTATAGGAGCGCAAATAGCTCTGCTAATAATTAGGAGTTTATGAAAAATAAGTGTATTTTACAATTTTTCACATTACAAAGAAAGTAGTATATACAGTAACTATATTTTAAAGTCTAAGAAGAAATGGCTGGGGAATAATATTTTAAAATGTAATCACGGGTTTAATGACTTTATGAAGTTAACTTTCTTGGCAGGATGAACTGAAGTATGTTAACAGTCACCTTACAGCTATTTTCTTTTTGCAACTTCTGCAAATTATAGATTTGTTGAAAGGAGTATTCATTCTCCTGTGACAGAAGCACAGTTACTTCAATGGGACTGTCTGCTGCTTTTTTTTCCATAATTATTTTTTCTTCCACTACCTCCAAAGTCAACAATCACCGATACTTCTTCTACAAAACTGTCTTGATGGACAAACAGACAAAAAGCTGGAAAACAAACATACTGTGTTGTGACATAATCCTTCCAGTTAAACTGCAGGACGGAGTTGGAGTGGTAATGTTTGCATGCCTTGGAACTGCTGGGAGCCAAGAATAATGCTGCAGGAGCTACGATTTTGTTTTCATTATACAAGAAAATTAGATCATAGTTCACCTGGGTGAATTTTTTTTCTGAGGCAGGAAGGCTGTTTTGTTATTAAATATGCGTTAAAATGTCCTATTTTTTCATCTTTTCCAGATAAAAACCATGCAACTATATCATTACCAGAGAATATTCTGAATTTGGATATAGTCCTGTAAATACATTCCAAACAGAGCATCCCGACACTTTTTCATAGGCAACTAAATAAAAGAAGTAAATACAGGCTTACATTTCAATCTTTCAATGTAATATTTCATATGCTATTAATGCTAACACCTGAGCTTCTCACTCTAACACACACACAGAGGAAAAACACAGAATTTGTTTCCATAAGTCAGCACAGGGATGTGCTTTATGCAGTTAGCACATCCTGGGGAGGTAATTACATTAAGGAGCCTATCAGAGCACTCTAATAGGTAATGATTTAGGATCACTGCACAAGGGTTAAAGAGCATGACTGAATCATCACAAGCTGCCTAAACCAGAAAATGTCCATCTGCACATGAAAAGACAATCAATTTTCTTCTTACTAGGTATCTGGTCTCAAATCCAAGTATTTTTTACTGAAGAACACTTAATGTCACACCAGGTGATTATGTGTGACCTCAAGAAGATGAAGCTCTATGTCCCATTTTGAGGCTTCAGAGAATCATGGAATCATTTACGTTGGACAATACCTTTAAGATCATAAAGTCCAACCATTAATCCAGCACTGCCACATCCACCACTAAACCATGTCCCCAAGTG